GGGTTGCTGTAGCACAGCTCTTCTCCTCTCCTCCAGCACTGCCCTCGGGGGCTTGGCTTAAGCTGCAAGATCATCAAATCTCAGTTCAGCCCCAATTTATTGCCATATTTCTTAAACCTGACTTGGATTTTTTGCTCTGTCCCACCAATTCTGTCAGCATTTTGCTCTCTCCGGGGCTGTGCTCCTTTGCTGTGGTTTGGGAACCCCAGCGAGAGGCTTTTTTTTTTTTTTTTTGATGAAAGTGCTGAGCTGGCATTGCATGGGAAGTTCAAACAACTTAAAAAAAAAAAAAACAACCCACCTACTTCAAAAATAAATCTCTTTAATGTACCAGAGACCCAGAAATTGAGACTCTTTGTGAACACAAAGCCACGTGTGTTGTTCCCACTGAAGCCTTCCAGTTGTGAGTGAAATAAAGCCTTGGTTTAAAGTAGAATGTTGGTTTATCTCAACAGACCTGCTCTCTGCTTTCCTGGTTTTTAAACTAAATCTTTGCTAAATCTTTTAAAACTACGATGTGCCGCCTGGTGCTGAGCCTGGTGACCAACCTTCTGCAGGAACCACCGCTTCGTGCTACAGCAGGCCAAAATGGTACAATAAAAAGGCCTTTAAGAGCCACGGCAGGCCCGTGTCGTAAATCAGGGGTTTGAATATTTTCTCTGACTTTTTGTTTCTGAAGCTTTTTCACTGTTGAGATGCCAATAGTTGCGACAGAGCCCTTCCCAGGAGAGCTGGGCCGGGAGCCTGGCGCTGGAGATGACATTCCCCTAGTGATCTCCCAGCCTCTTCTATTCTGGGTCCAGCTGCCGGCTGAATTGTGGTTGTCCTTGTGGCTTTATAGTCAGTTACAAACGAGGATCTGTCATTTCTCTGCCCCTGTTTATCTCTTCTGGCCTTAATTAGATTTAACACATGGGAAAGGGAGGCAGGGATTGATGCCGGAGCGGAGACCGAACGAGGATATCGCTTGTTGCAGCGGTGACTCTACGAAACCCACCCTGCCCTTGGAGAGGGATTGACCGGGGCTTTTGGTGACTTTTGGTGCCACATCTGATTTTTGGAGAAGATTGTTTGATAAGTTATAAAGTACCAGGCTTTCTCAGAATCACTGGGCTCCTTTAGCTGGGTCTTTGGCTCTGGTTGCCTCCGACTACTCACGTCTTCCCTTTGAGACTTGGAGCTGATGACTTCGACACACAATTTGGGAGGGATTTCCCAAATACATGTGTACTGGGGAGACCTTCACCACCCCCTTGTTCTCATGTGTGGAGCCTTCAGAGCTTGGGTTCCGTCAAATCCACACTGACCTCAGTGCAAAATTGCTGGAGGGCTTGTGTTTGGGTTGGGGGAAAAACGGGGGTTTTGAAAGGAAACTTTGCATTTGCACAAGTGCCCTGGGAATATTGAAGGGGAACAACCCGGGATTCTTCCCATCCCACCCGCCTGCCCCGAGCTCTCCTGATTTTTGGGGTGAGGATGTGGTGGAGAGGCCAATGGGCTAGATGAAAGAATACATAACCAGTAGGCAGAGCAAATTATTTACTGTACCAAATCTCCAGATTTTATTATATTCCGCTTGTGAAAGGGCACATTTGCCACAAGAGGCAAATGTTCACCATGAGATGTGAGTTCCACAAGGAGGGCTCCTTAGAAATAGTGAGGCCTTTAAAAAACAAACAAAAGACTCCCTCCCTCCCCCTCCACCCTATTTAAAAGTTGATTTGCAGAGGAACAGCACAGTGTCACTTCCTTCCCCTGCCCGAGAGCGGAAATTCCTCTCTCCTTAATAAAATGATTATCTGCCACGGTCCAGAAACTTTATTTCTGTGCTTAAATAGACGTGTTGAAAAGCCATGGACTCCTCTGGAAAAGGAATGAACCTTCTGAGCTGGTTCAGCTGCGCTGGGGGCCGTGTTGGGCCGAGCAGAGCCCTGTGATATCGGCCCTTCTGCACCTCGGGAAGGGGTTCAGAGGTGTCTGGGCCATTCCCAACTCGGGTGGACAGGAGCCAGGGAAGGTCTGTGGTCCCAGCGAGGAGGATGAAGAGCGAGGAAGGCCACCCTCCGTTTATTTTAAGCGCCTCACATCAGCTGACTTGACTTTTATCACCCAGGGCCCGATTTCCTGGCAGAGACCTGACGCATTCACGTGCCGAAAACCGCTAACCTCAGACAATTGTCTGTCTTTTAAAAAAAAAATCTATGTTTCTCCACCTTATACTTTGGTCTCAGGTTTTTTTTTTGGAAACTTAAGTTTTGTTGCCGTAGTTAGTGTTGAAATGGGGCGTGCTCACTCGTGCTGCTCTTCTGGGCTTATAAACCTCTTATTCCATATTTTAGTCATCCCTGGGAAATGCTACGGGCTGGCGAGGAGGAAACTTCTTCAGCAGTGCCAGCTGCCTGGAGGAAAGCAAAGCAGGCAGTAGTGCAGCCTAACGATATCACTGGGGTAAAGGATATTTTTTTTGGAAGAACTACCAGAAGTTTTGGAAGATGTTTTCCAAGAGCTGGAGCTGTTGCTGCGAGGGACAGGGACACCGTGGAGGTGGCCGGGCCGTGCTCAGGTCCCCTCTGAGCTGTGAGCAAAGCACCATCCTGCTCAGGAAGAGCTGTTTTGGAGTGAAATCTGTCTTCAGGAGCTGTAAAAACACTTGTTAAACCCAAATGTATCTACGATGTTGGAAAGAAGGGCTTTTTTTTCTTTCTTTTCCTTGGGCAGGGAATGCAGCTTTAGGTTTGATGAGGTGAGAAGTACAAATGTGGGGTTGCTGTAGCACAGCTCTTCTCCTCTCCTCCAGCACTGCCCTCGGGGGCTTGGCTTAAGCTGCAAGATCATCAAATCTCAGTTCAGCCCCAATTTATTGCCATATTTCTTAAACCTGACTTGGATTTTTTGCTCTGTCCCACCAATTCTGTCAGCATTTTGCTCTCTCCGGGGCTGTGCTCCTTTGCTGTGGTTTGGGAACCCCAGCGAGAGGCTTTTTTTTTTTTTTGGTGTGTGTGCGCCTTGGTTTGGGGTTTTTTTGGTCCCTTCCACTTTGATAAAGCAGAAGCAGGTTTTCCTCCTTCGAGGCTCTCTGTTGCAGCTCGGTTTGCAAAGGTTGTGGTGGAGGTTCTCTGCTTCTGGTTGCAGCCTGGCAGCTGGTTAGCAGCAAACTTGAAAAACCACAACCATTAGAATGAATCCAGAGCTGATTTGGGTCAGAAATGTGAAAAAAAAAAAAGCTTTTGGACTTGTTTAAAACCCCTGGTGAGGATGGGACTGGGTTAAAGTGGGGAAGAAGGTTGAGGGCAGCTCTTGTGGCAACGTCACGATGTGGTTTCAGCTTGAGCTGTGCTGAGCAGGGTTTGGGGGACAGTGGAGCCTGCGAGGTGTGTGCCCCAAAAGCTGGGTGGGAATTGGGGATTAGGGGAAAGCCCCGCTTGAGGATGGAAGGAGGAAAGCTCAGTGTCTGCTCTCAGACGTAGGGAAGGAGGAATCCCTGCTCGTGTTGGTAGGAGCTGGAAGCTGCTGGGGAAACTTTTGGGGAGGAGAAGGGGGGACCCACACTGCCCAGTGGGGAGCGGCTCAGCCTGTTTTTTTTTGGGGAAAAAACCCCGTAAGGCATAACAGGCTTGGGCCTGCTGTCCAACTTGTGAGGGCAGGGCCTTCACTTACACCCTTCTTTCTTTGTCATACACCAAAAGGGGCTTATTTTCACGTCTCAGAGTAAGGCTTGTTACTTTCTCAAGTGCTGTCTCTACGGGGAACCTCTCGTGGAAGCAGCCACTGTGTGTTGGGCATCATGATCTCAGAAGTTGTACCAATTCCATGCTTCTCGAGAACATTGCCCACCTGCCTCATCTCCTAAAAACCATTGATTAGGTTTCCTGCTGCTTCTGCACCTTTTCTATGTTTAAAACACAAGGTTTTTTATCTGCAAGCGAGGCTGCCATCGTGTTTAATGGAGGGAGCATCGTTTTGGGGCAGAACTGCTGTTTTCCTGCTCTGGGTGTGTGGTCGGTTGTGGAGGAGCGTGGGCAGAGACTTGTCATCCTGCCTGTGGTGCCCACAGGTCGGCAGTGCCGGGGAATTTCACTGAATTTCACTGAATTTTAGAGTTGGAAGGGACCATAGAGATCATCTAGTCCAACTCCCCTGCTGAAGCAGGATTGCCCAGAGCTAGAGCATGTTTTAAAACACAAGGTTTTTTATCTGCAAGCGAGGCTGCCATCGTGTTTAATGGAGGGAGCATCGTTTTGGGGCAGAACTGCTGTTTTCCTGCTCTGGGTGTGTGGTCGGTTGTGGAGGAGCGTGGGCAGAGCCTTGTCATCCTGCCTGTGGTGCCCACAGGTCGGCAGTGCCGGGGAATTTCACTGAATTTCACTGAATTTTAGAGTTGGAAGGGACCATAGAGATCATCTAGTCCAACTCCCCTGCTGAAGCAGGATTGCCCAGAGCTAGAGCATGTTACTCAGGAGCATCCAGGCGGGGCTTGAAAATCTCCAAGGAAGGGAATAGAAAGGGCTGTCTGAAAGATGGTGGTTTTCAAGGTGCCTTAATGAGTGTCTCGATTAATTCTTTGTCTCTTCGATTGGGAAATCAACCCTCTTCGAGAGGGATGTTATGAGGTGACCTTGCAACTCCTCTCCTCCCCTTCTGGGGACGAGCAGGGGTTCAGCCCCTGCCCGCCATGGCATGGGGCTCCTCCTCTTGTCTAAAAAGGAGACCACATCTTTTGGTTTAGGGATCTAAGCTCTTAACTTATGGAAACAGCATGTGCTCTGAGCTCTCGATGATGGACCCTCGGCGCAGGCTCCGGAGAGGCAGCGGATGAAAGGGCTGGAAACACACATTGCACAAACTCTCTCCACATCAGATGCTGAAATGCTTTTAATGGGAGCTGTATGTGGAGAACACTCCACCCTCTGAACTAGAGAGGGGGGTTTGACGTCACACTGGTTTATTTTCTTTTTTTTTATTTATTTTTCCTTCCCCTCTCTCCCTGCTCTCCTGTTTAGAAATGGCATCAGATGTTTCCTCGCTGGGTGCAGCCGTCGGCGCCGGGACCCCTGGGCCGGGTGCTCAGGCTGGAGGAGCCATCGTTCAGAGACCAAACAAGAGGCGTCCGGGGTGAGTGGCTTTTTCCTTTCCTCGGGGAGGTGCCTGAGTGGAGTTTTTTGGGGCAGCATCGCTCTCCTCAAAGAGCTCAGCCTCGTGGGGAGGAAACTTCTCTGCTTCGGAGCCAAGGGGAGTTGTGTGGTTCCCGGTCGCACCCGGTAAAGCCAAGTTCTGCCTTATGTGCAAAAAAGAAGGGATCAAACCTCGCAGAAGAGGGTTTCTCCCCAAGGATTGAGGGGGAAAGAGGAGTAGTTGCTGGGAGAGAGGTGGAGGAGCAGAGAATGTGGATGTTGGGGCCTTACTCAAAGCTCTGCAGCTGCCCCCCCTGGGAGAGGGTGGGGGGAAGCCGCGATGTGCTTGCGGTAGGCTTTTTTGTTTGCTAAAAATGCCATTGCAAATTAAAAGGATATTGAGTGGCTGCTCTGAAATTCCTGGCACGAGAAAGTCCCTCTTCGTTTTCGAGCTAATTAAAATCCTTCTCCCCGCCCTCCCCCAGTCACTCAAACT